TTATCTGTGTTTTAATATTTTACATTTATTTAAATTATAAGATTGATTCCTTTGTTCTTTGGTGCTGCTTTCCATTTTTTTAGATGCATTGTTTTTGCTTATTCATGTTAATATTTTTTCTAGTAACTTTACTCGCATATTTTATAATTCATTCCATGTCTTTACCCGATTTTCTTATAAAGGAATTCTTTCTCTCGTTTCATTTTTGAACGTTTATTTCTTTCCCCTCACTTTTTTTTGATTATGAAGAAAGAATTGAACAATTTCTTGTGAAAATTCTTCTGCCGTTATTATTTATCTTCTAAGTCACAGATTATGGACTATTAGATTTATATTTCAGCCTGTTTCAGAGTATACTCTTATTGGATTTTTCAAATGAAATCTTATATATATATATATATATATATATATATATGTATATATATATATATATATATATATATATATATATTTATATATACATATTATGTTGCTGATAAAGTTTAGTCTGGTCTCAGTTGCATTAGTTTAATGCGCATGAATCAATCAATGTTATATTATGTAACTGTTTAGTGTTATTTATTCATACTCAAATTTTGAATTTTGCTAATCGGCTGTATTTTTCAATGTGAATTTATCATTACGATAATTCAGTCAGTATGAGAATTTTTCTTTTATGATTTTTTTATTGTTAAGATATTTTTATTTTAAATTTCTAGGTAAAACCTCCACATCGTCCAAAGTTGACTGGTGAGTTATACACTGTTGCAACATTTTGGTTGGACGGCAAATATTCTTTTAAATAAATTCTTATTTGGCTCTATAAACACTAGAGCGAAGGTAGTTAAGGGTTAATTGGTATTTTATTAGCTTGATCTTTGATGGGGTCTAGGAATCCGACTTCTAATGAGTCGGAGACGTGAAAAGTTTGAATATAGAAATGTTAGTGCGGTGGTCTCAAGGCTAATGGTTCCCACGAGACCGAGGGTATTATCACTATTCGTGTAATGAGTAGAAACTGCTAAAGAGCTGAGTACTAGGACGAAATATCTATCTAAAGCTTTCTTGTTTTCAATGGTTGTCTTGATTAAGACCAGCTGATGATTTAGAATATGAGAATTTACAATTGTAAATAAACGTTGAAATGATCAGAAGGCAGTTTATAGGTGCATTAAGGTTTAGATCAAATGATATATATATATATTCATTGCAACGTTGCTTATTAATTTTGAATCTACATGTGTTTTTTACTATACTGTTTGATTCAGTATTAGTGAAATGTTATTTTCTACACGGACGATTGACTTTTCTGACATTCACTACTTGCTGGTCAACCGACGTAGTTTGACATAGGCCACCTACAGTTGTTCCAAATGGATATTCAGTTTTCTGATTTCTGTATCTAATTCCCGGTGAGGTGTGTTCTTTGTTTTATCTCTTTGCCTTTTGCTTTAAGGATTCCAAGTTATAGCCTGTCTTATGATACAGTCTGGTGATTTTTTTCAAGGTAAATTTTATTCACCTGTAGTTTCTTTTCTTAAATTCCTCCTTTATTTGCAGTGGTTTGTTCTCTGCCATAGAAGAGTGTGGCCAATGGTATCCACCCAACAGATATGACTTTTCTTGCGAAGATAACTAGTTATAAATTCCTGCATTTTTGATCGATGGTTTCGGTATTGAATAGACTTCCGTAAAATCGATTTTTGATTCATTCATTCACGTCATATCACTGCATCCGATTCGTTTTACTGGAATATATATCGCTTAATTTATTGTAATGTATATTATTAAACTTCACTTTTGTCTTGTTATTTTGGATGATATTTTTATAACTAAATATGATTAATAAAAATTTTATCTTCCAGCTCCTTCAACTCCTGTCAATATTACAATTATTATAACTCCACCAGAAAGTCCATCCTCAAAACCGAAACTTGACATATCCTGGCAACAACCTGATGACATTCCAGTTACCAACTTCTACATAGAATTAAAACCATCAAACTCTAAAACTTGGCAAGATGTGTCTGCTGACTTCATTATTACTGAACCTCATGCAATATTACCAACTGATAATTTACAAGAATTTGTCAGTTATGAATTTCGAGTTATTGCTGAAAATGAAGTAGGCAAAAGTGAACCATCACTGCCGTCAAATTCCATTGAATTAGGTAAGTATAATTTGCAGGAAAGTAAAGTTCGTTTATAACAAATCAGAGTTCAGGTGGTTTAAATTAACAATCTATTATACAAAAGAGGCTTAGAGTTAGACTTTTGGATTGGAATTAAGGAATAAAATAAGGCTTCAAAAATGAACTAACGGATTAAAAATTAAATTTACAAAATAAAATTATAAAGAGGAAAACTATCAAAACATTATGAGTTAGGAGTTATTTGTATTAATTTCAGTTATCAAAAGGACTTGCCTACTTGAGCCTTTTACAACAAATGGAAAAAAGGTCGGCGATTAGACTTCACCAAATAACCCCAATACAGGCCTTCTATTCAAGGTCTGACCGATATAAAACGATGTAAACAATGTCATTACAGCTAAAACATTTACCTGGAATACTAAATCCATTACGGTACATTCATAAATTCGAAAATCATGTTAAACATAAACCTCCAGTAGGCTAGGTTTCCATTTCCTCGATACCAGAAAACACGAAATGAGAACTTAGAGAGAACAATCCAAACAATTATTATTCGGTAGATACAAAAAAGCAAATTATTCCTAAGATTCAAACAACATAAATAAACCAAATAAAATTAAATTAGGCATATACAAAAATTTCCAAAGCAAGAGCACCAAACAAAAGCTAAAATGTATTATTCCTTACAAAACGTATACACAAATATAATCAAAAAATTGAAAGTAGAAAATTATCATTCCAGAAGAAAAAACATGCATTTGACTAATATATAAAGAAAAAAACATTCAGTGAAAAAAAAAGATACAACGATGACAATGAATGAAAATATCAAATAGACTGAAAGATGTCGAAACCGATCGTGGAGTATTACACGTATTTCGATGTTCGAAGCGGAGAAGTCATATTTTGAAGTGGAGACTGAGTGTCGTGAACAGTATACACCGGAGGTGAATGGGCGTCGAGAGATTCATTTGGATGCGTGCGCCACTTTACTTAACAATCCGTCTGTGTATTGAATGCATTTATGTTTGAGTGATAGACTACTGGAATGCCACATCCAGGCCTTCTTTTCATCAAACAGTATGATACTTAGTTGATTTCAAGTCACTTCTATATTTGCTTTGCTGATTTTTTAATGTGATTGGCTTTCGAAGCAAAACCAGTATCACTTTTACAAGTGGCAGGATGTTCTAAATCGTCTTTTTCGCATTCTAATACAGTTGTTATTCATTTAATATAGGCACACCGCTGGAATTCATTCGCCCGTTGACGGATGTAACTGTCAGCTCAGTGACAAATGAGCCGGTCATCCTGGAATGTGAACTCTCTCGAACTCCACGTGACAAGATTCAATGGTTTAAGGATGGGAAAGCACTACCCAGCAGACTACCTAGTAGAATAAAAGTTGAAGAGTTGGAGAATGGAAAAGTTCACCGAATTACTTTCAGTCCATTGACAGACGAAGATCTAGGTGTTTATTCTGTGAAAGTAGAGAATTTGACAAATGAAGCACGAGTAGATATGAAGAGTGAGTTATTGATTACTGTTATTAAAGTTTATATGGAGTGTTTATTTTCTGAGTATGTTTCGAAAGAAATCTTATTTGATAATTGAAGATGCATTTATATTTCTTGACAGAAATAGAATAACTACCGTTTAGATAGTTTGATTTAATCTTGTATCTGAAATTATTGTAAGTAGCAATGGTCATAATACTTGTTGAATGGTGGAATGAGAAAGTTGTTGAATTTTCTATTCACTTACAGTTGCGCCAACATTGAAACTGTCGGAATCATTCTCTAACAAAGTCATTATGAAAGCAGGAGAGGCAGCCGTCTTCGAAATACCATTCGTTGCCAGTCCGAAACCGACAGTGACCTGGTCATGGCGACCAAGAACACGTCCTGATGCGGAGTTAGGATCGGCTCAAAGTCCACGATTCAAGGCTGACGTGGTGTCCGGACTGACGTCATTGCCAGTGAGTAAGGTGAAGCGTGAGGATGCTGGTGAGTACTGTGTGGTTATCAGTAATGAATTGGGTGAGGTGACGGTGAGCATTGAGTTGATTGTATTGGATAAGCCGTCTGTACCTCGTAACTTAGTCGTGAGTGAGAACAATGGCGAGAGTGTTTTGTTCAGTTGGACGGAGCCAGAATTCCTCGGTATTCATCCTGATGTAGGAGTTAGTGATGCATTGAGTTACGTTGTCGAGATGCGTGAGTCAAGTCAACGTGCTAGCAGGTCGGTGACAGTGACGAGTGAATTGAATACTCGTATAGACAAATTGCTTGTGAACAAGTCGTATGTGTTTAGTGTTGCAGCCAAAAATGATGTTGGTCAGTCGGAATTCGCTGAAACGAGTCCAGTTTCAACGAAGTTGGAATATGGTAAGTTTTTGTTTCAATTGCATAGTTTTGTTCATGATTGGATTTTCGATACTGTTGACTCTGTCGACAAAGCATTTTGTTACTCGATAGATCTTAGCAAAAGTAATCGGGTAAAGCTTTCAAACAAACAATGCTTGAATTTAATTTTCAACTGAATTTGAAGTTGTTTAAACCGTTCAACTGTCTATGCTGAGCTACTCTAAATACAACGCTGATGACCACAGTGTAGATTTTTGTGTTTTTATTGCTGCAAATGAACCTCTGATAGTATCGGTTATATGAGTCCATAGCGTGAATCGGTTCGAGTAATGTTTTACCCTTCATCGTTTCAGCAGTGCTCTGGACATCATGACTTTAGAATAGATTATTTCCTAATTTTTGTTAAGTTATTTGTGTCTCTGACGTTGCACTGATCGCGTACTGTATTATGTTGACTGACATCATTTGACTGGAGGAATACTGACAAGATTTTTTCGGTACAGCTTAATTGTGTTGGTGTGCTTGATGTAGTTTGCATTGCTTGAGACACATGGAAAATGTGATATATCACTCACTCGACCACTACTTCATGATTTGGTGAACAGTTAGGGAGTACTCATAAGAAGTGACATTGAACCAGGACCTACTTGTTCAAGTGAACCCGAAATTGATTATTGACTCGGCTAAGATTTTACGCATAGTCGATAGTGCTTTTGATGCATGATTATTGGAATGTGCATACTGTTGTCATTGATTATCTAACATTGTGGGTTATATCTTGAAAGTAATTTGAATGCTCTCTGAAAACACTAGGCCCACCACCGAGTCCAGTCAATGTGAGGGCAGTCGTCAATCCAGAGAAGGCGTCGATAAAAGACCAAACAATAGAACTGACATGGGAACAACCAACCGACCAAGTGTCTGCCAGTGGACCAGTCACAAACTTCTACATTGAATTGAAGCCCGAAGATTCAACTAGATGGCAAGACGTGAGTGCCGACTTCACAATCACTGAACCACACTTCACTCTTCCCACTGATAAATTGCAAGAGTTTGTGAGCTATGAGTTTCGTGTGACAGCAGAGAATAAAGCTGGCAAGAGTAAACCTTCTTCACCATCGAACGCAGTTCAGCTAGGTAAGTGACATCACTTGTGTTGCGTGTGTGTGCGTGTGTCTATCTATCTATGTGCACTGACTTTCAGGTTGTTTTATTTTAATTTATATATTCGCCAAGATGAACGTGTTCAAATCAGGTGCGATTGAGTTGTAGAGTGGGATATACTAATCGACACGTATCCCCAACATGTTCTCTCAAGTAACTAGTAATAGTGTGATCATTTCACACTGCCAATTAGACTCATATGTAAGAATGATCCATCAGTGATAATCGATGACTGATATTGCATGGACAGAAGAATTGCTTGTAGCCATCCATTCAGTGGAACAACTTCCTGATGTGGACCAACTGCTGAACCTTCTCGGTTACGTCATTTTTCCAACTGAATGACTACCAACAGAAAGTAGTTCATCTGACGAGATAATTTTTAGTTTGAAGTGGTAGTGATTTTCCGAATCTTCAGTTGTAAATGAATATCGTCAATTTGCGCACAGTCCAATTCGAATAACGGGTGTTTGGGAGCGGTGATAGTCATTGTGTTTGCGATTTATTTACTGTGCTGTAGTGTAGAAGTGGTTCCGATTGAATATAGGATCTGGAATCCACCCATGTCAGTGATTGCTACTCACTGAAATCACTGAAAGATGTCGAAACCGATCGTGGAGTATTACACGTATTTCGATGTTCGAAGCGGAGAAGTCATATTTTGAAGTGGAGACTGAGTGTCGTGAACAGTATACACCGGAGGTGAATGGGCGTCGAGAGATTCATTTGGATGCGTGCGCCACTTTACTTAACAATCCGTCTGTGTATTGAATGCATTTATGTTTGAGTGATAGACTACTGGAATGCCACATCCAGGCCTTCTTTTCATCAAACAGTATGATACTTAGTTGATTTCAAGTCACTTCTATATTTGCTTTGCTGATTTTTTAATGTGATTGGCTTTCGAAGCAAAACCAGTATCACTTTTACAAGTGGCAGGATGTTCTAAATCGTCTTTTTCGCATTCTAATACAGTTGTTATTCATTTAATATAGGCACACCGCTGGAATTCATTCGCCCGTTGACGGATGTAACTGTCAGCTCAGTGACAAATGAGCCGGTCATCCTGGAATGTGAACTCTCTCGAACTCCACGTGACAAGATTCAATGGTTTAAGGATGGGAAAGCACTACCCAGCAGACTACCTAGTAGAATAAAAGTTGAAGAGTTGGAGAATGGAAAAGTTCACCGAATTACTTTCAGTCCATTGACAGACGAAGATCTAGGTGTTTATTCTGTGAAAGTAGAGAATTTGACAAATGAAGCACGAGTAGATATGAAGAGTGAGTTATTGATTACTGTTATTAAAGTTTATATGGAGTGTTTATTTTCTGAGTATGTTTCGAAAGAAATCTTATTTGATAATTGAAGATGCATTTATATTTCTTGACAGAAATAGAATAACTACCGTTTAGATAGTTTGATTTAATCTTGTATCTGAAATTATTGTAAGTAGCAATGGTCATAATACTTGTTGAATGGTGGAATGAGAAAGTTGTTGAATTTTCTATTCACTTACAGTTGCGCCAACATTGAAACTGTCGGAATCATTCTCTAACAAAGTCATTATGAAAGCAGGAGAGGCAGCCGTCTTCGAAATACCATTCGTTGCCAGTCCGAAACCGACAGTGACCTGGTCATGGCGACCAAGAACACGTCCTGATGCGGAGTTAGGATCGGCTCAAAGTCCACGATTCAAGGCTGACGTGGTGTCCGGACTGACGTCATTGCCAGTGAGTAAGGTGAAGCGTGAGGATGCTGGTGAGTACTGTGTGGTTATCAGTAATGAATTGGGTGAGGTGACGGTGAGCATTGAGTTGATTGTATTGGATAAGCCGTCTGTACCTCGTAACTTAGTCGTGAGTGAGAACAATGGCGAGAGTGTTTTGTTCAGTTGGACGGAGCCAGAATTCCTCGGTATTCATCCTGATGTAGGAGTTAGTGATGCATTGAGTTACGTTGTCGAGATGCGTGAGTCAAGTCAACGTGCTAGCAGGTCGGTGACAGTGACGAGTGAATTGAATACTCGTATAGACAAATTGCTTGTGAACAAGTCGTATGTGTTTAGTGTTGCAGCCAAAAATGATGTTGGTCAGTCGGAATTCGCTGAAACGAGTCCAGTTTCAACGAAGTTGGAATATGGTAAGTTTTTGTTTCAATTGCATAGTTTTGTTCATGATTGGATTTTCGATACTGTTGACTCTGTCGACAAAGCATTTTGTTACTCGATAGATCTTAGCAAAAGTAATCGGGTAAAGCTTTCAAACAAACAATGCTTGAATTTAATTTTCAACTGAATTTGAAGTTGTTTAAACCGTTCAACTGTCTATGCTGAGCTACTGTAAATACAACGCTGATGACCACAGTGTAGATTTTTGTGTTTTTATTGCTGCAAATGAACCTCTGATAGTATCGGTTATATGAGTCCATAGCGTGAATCGGTTCGAGTAATGTTTTACCCTTCATCGTTTCAGCAGTGCTCTGGACATCATGACTTTAGAATAGATTATTTCCTAATTTTTGTTAAGTTATTTGTGTCTCTGACATTGTACTGATCGCGTACTGTATTATGTTGACTGACATCATTTGACTGGAGGAATACTGACAAGATTTTTTCGGTACAGCTTAATTGTGTTGGTGTGCTTGATGTAGTTTGCATTGCTTGAGACACATGGAAAATGTGATATATCACTCACTCGACCACTACTTCATGATTTGGTGAACAGTTAGGGAGTACTCATAAGAAGTGACATTGAACCAGGACCTACTTGTTCAAGTGAACCCGAAATTGATTATTGACTCGGCTAAGATTTTACGCATAGTCGATAGTGCTTTTGATGCATGATTATTGGAATGTGCATACTGTTGTCATTGATTATCTAACATTGTGGGTTATATCTTGAAAGTAATTTGAATGCTCTCTGAAAACACTAGGCCCACCACCGAGTCCAGTCAATGTGAGGGCAGTCGTCAATCCAGAGAAGGCGTCGATAAAAGACCAAACAATAGAACTGACATGGGAACAACCAACCGACCAAGTGTCTGCCAGTGGACCAGTCACAAACTTCTACATTGAATTGAAGCCCGAAGATTCAACTAGATGGCAAGACGTGAGTGCCGACTTCACAATCACTGAACCACACTTCACTCTTCCCACTGATAAATTGCAAGAGTTCGTGAGCTATGAGTTTCGTGTGACAGCAGAGAATAAAGCTGGCAAGAGTAAACCTTCTTCACCATCGAACGCAGTTCAGCTAGGTAAGTGACATCACTTGTGTTGCGTGTGTGTGCGTGTGTCTATCTATCTATGTGCACTGACTTTCAGGTTGTTTTATTTTAATTTATATATTCGCCAAGATGAACGTGTTCAAATCAGGTGCGATTGAGTTGTAGAGTGGGATATACTAATCGACACGTATCCCCAACATGTTCTCTCAAGTAACTAGTAATAGTGTGATCATTTCACACTGCCAATTAGACTCATATGTAAGAATGATCCATCAGTGATAATCGATGACTGATATTGCATGGACAGAAGAATTGCTTGTAGCCATCCATTCAGTGGAACAACTTCCTGATGGGGACCAACTGCTGAACCTTCTCGGTTACGTCATTTTTCCAACTGAATGACTACCAACAGAAAGTAGTTCATCTGACGAGATAATTTTTAGTTTGAAGTGGTAGTGATTTTCCGAATCTTCAGTTGTAAATGATTATCGTCAATTTGCGAACAGTCCAATTCGAATAACGGGTGTTTGGGAGCGGTGATAGTCATTGTGTTTGCGATTTATTTACTGTGCTGTAGTGTAGAAGTGGTTCCGATTGAATATAGGATCTGGAATCCACCCATGTCAGTGATTGCTACTCACTGAAATCACTGAAAGATGTTGAAACCGATCGTGGAGTATTACACGTATTTTGATGTTCGAAGCGGAGAAGTCATATTTTGATGTGGAGACTGAGTGTCGTGAACAGTATACACCGGAGGTGAATGGGCGTCGAGAGATTCATTTGGATGCGTGCGCCACTTTACTTAACAATCCGTCTGTGTATTGAATGCATTTATGTTTGAGTGATAGACTACTGGAATGCCACATCCAGGCCTTCTTTTCATCAAACAGTATGATACTTAGTTGATTTCAAGTCACTTCTATATTTGCTTTGGTGATTTTTTAATGTGATTGGCTTTCGAAGCAAAACCAGTATCACTTTTACAAGTGGCAGGATGTTCTAAATCGTCTTTTTCGCATTCTAATACAGTTGTTATTCATTTAATATAGGCACACCGCTGGAATTCATTCGCCCGTTGACGGATGTAACTGTCAGCTCAGTGACAAATGAGCCGGTCATCCTGGAATGTGAACTCTCTCGAACTCCACGTGACAAGATTCAATGGTTTAAGGATGGGAAAGCACTACCCAGCAGACTACCTAGTAGAATAAAAGTTGAAGAGTTGGAGAATGGAAAAGTTCACCGAATTACTTTCAGTCCATTGACAGAAGAAGATCTAGGTGTTTATTCTGTGAAAGTAGAGAATTTGACAAATGAAGCACGAGTAGATATGAAGAGTGAGTTATTGATTACTGTTATTAAAGTTTATATGGAGTGTTTATTTTCTGAGTATGTTTCGAAAGAAATCTTATTTGATAATTGAAGATGCATTTATATTTCTTGACAGAAATAGAATAACTACCGTTTAGATAGTTTGATTTAATCTTGTATCTGAAATTATTGTAAGTAGCAATGGTCATAATACTTGTTGAATGGTGGAATGAGAAAGTTGTTGAATTTTCTATTCACTTACAGTTGCGCCAACATTGAAACTGTCGGAATCATTCTCTAACAAAGTCATTATGAAAGCAGGAGAGGCAGCCGTCTTCGAAATACCATTCGTTGCCAGTCCGAAACCGACAGTGACCTGGTCATGGCGACCAAGAACACGTCCTGATGCGGAGTTAGGATCGGCTCAAAGTCCACGATTCAAGGCTGACGTGGTGTCCGGACTGACGTCATTGCCAGTGAGTAAGGTGAAGCGTGAGGATGCTGGTGAGTACTGTGTGGTTATCAGTAATGAATTGGGTGAGGTGACGGTGAGCATTGAGTTGATTGTATTGGATAAGCCGTCTGTACCTCGTAACTTAGTCGTGAGTGAGAACAATGGCGAGAGTGTTTTGTTCAGTTGGACGGAGCCAGAATTCCTCGGTATTCATCCTGATGTAGGAGTTAGTGATGCATTGAGTTACGTTGTCGAGATGCGTGAGTCAAGTCAACGTGCTAGCAGGTCGGTGACAGTGACGAGTGAATTGAATACTCGTATAGACAAATTGCTTGTGAACAAGTCGTATGTGTTTAGTGTTGCAGCCAAAAATGATGTTGGTCAGTCGGAATTCGCTGAAACGAGTCCAGTTTCAACGAAGTTGGAATATGGTAAGTTTTTGTTTCAATTGCATAGTTTTGTTCATGATTGGATTTTCGATACTGTTGACT